GATGGTGACAGGAATACTGCTTATTATCATGATTGTATTAAAAATAGAAGAAAGCTTAATATGATATCTAAAACTATTAGCACTGGTGGTATTGTGCTCAATAATCTCAATGATATTGCTCATAATGGAGTTCAATTTTTTTCCACTGCTTTCAGTAATAATGAGGATTCTTTGGCTTAGTTGGATAATTCTCTTTATAATGGTGTTACTATGACTAATAACTCTTCACTTACTTGTATTCCTAGTAATGCAGAAATTAAGGATATCATTGATCAGATGGAGAATAGCAAAGTTGCTGGCTCTGATGGTTTCACAATTGAGTTCTACAAGCATGGTTGGAATATTATTCAGTCTGATCTTGTTGTGGCTATTGAAGATTTTTTCAGAGGTCATGATTTGCCTAAATACTTTAAATCCTCTAATATTGTCTTGATTCCTAAAGTAGATAATGCTATCACTTGGGATGCTTTTAGACCCATTAGCCTGAATATTGTTTTGTCCAAGATTATCTCTAAAATTATTGTTAAGAGATTGCAACCCATTCTTAATAATCTTATCTGTCTGAATCAATTTGTTTTCTTAAAGGACAAACAGATTAGTGATAATGCTCTTATTGTTCAAGAACTCCTTATGGATATTGATAAGGAGAGTAGAGGAGGGAATATCATTTTCAAAATCGATATTAAGAAAGCTTTTGACACTATACGTTGGGATTTTATTATGAATATTCTCCATGTTATTGGTTTTAATGATATTTTTTGCAATCTCATCCATCGTATTCTCAGTGATAACTACTACTCTCTTCTTATTACTGGAAACAAATATGGATTCTTCAAAGCTTATAAAGGCATTAAACGGGGAGATCATCTCTCCCCTTACCTCTTTATTCTTGCCTTTGATTATTTGTCGAGTGCTTGAATGCTTTGTTTACAACCTATCCTAGTGTGAATTATATTCATAAAGGTCGACTAAGTAATTCTCATTTAAGTTTTGCGGATGATCTAATGATTTTTACAAATGGCCATAAATGTTCCATTAAGAAAGTTTGGGCTGAACTTATTAAATTTCAGCATATCTCTGATTTGAATTTTAATACTTCTAAATGTTTCTTCTATTGTTCTAAGAGTCTCTATTGCAAAGAAGCATTGGATTATGGATTATATTGGATGCAATAAGGCTATGCAGCCTCTGAATTATTTGGGTTTCACTTTGGATAAAGGTAGAAAACGAAGTTGTCTGTGTTTAAAATTGTTTGATAAAATCAGACAAAGAATTTTATCATGGGAAAACAAGTTCCTTTCATTTGGTGGTCGTATCACTCTTCTCAGAAGTGTTCTTACTTCTCTCCCGCTCTACTCTTTGCAAATCATGAATATTCCTCTGGGTGTTATTAAAAAGATTGAATATTTTTTTAATAAATTCCTTTGGGAAGGAAAAGTTAATTCTAAGATACACTAGACTACCTGGAAGAAACTTTGTTAACTTATAGAGAAAGGTGGTCTTGGTTTTCGTAGCTTAATTGATTAAGTAAAGATTAATTATATGAAACTTTGGTATAGATTCAGAAAGAATAGTTCTCTTTGGGCTTCTTTAATGCATGCCAAATATTACTTTAATAGACATCCTCTGTCCATTACTTATAATAAGAAGGATTCTTTTAGTTGGCGTGAAATGCTAAAGGTAGCCAGTAATACTGAAGATCCTATTTGTTGGGATATTGGTAAACGAGATTGCTCTTTTTGGTATGATGATTGGATGGGCAAGAGTGCTTCAGTTGACTTTTATGGAGGTCATGTTGTTATTGATATTAAAGTAAAAGATCTTTGGCATGAGAATCGTTGGTTCTTAAGAGAGCTTAAGCAGATGGTTCATTATAATGATGCTCATTTCATTGCTTCAATTCCTATTAACAATGGCAAAATTGATTTACCTAAGATTAAAGGCAATATGGGGGATTCTTGTTCTAAAAGCTTTGCTAACTCATTTCAAAATTTTCAAGGGTTGGATCTTCGACGGATTTGGAATCCATGTGTCAAACCTTCCTGGAATCCATGGGTCAAACCTTCCATTTCTTTCTTTGTTTGGAGAGTAATGCATAATCTACTTCCTACTGATGATCTACTTAAATTAAAGGGGTTGTGGCTTCCTTCATGTTGTGGTCTTTGTCGGAACCATGAAGAATCAAGTCTTCATATTTTTTATAGTTGTGAGTTTACAATGGAGATATGGAAATAGGTTACTTTGAAATTACATTTGCTGAATTTTTTATCTCAGTATGCTAACATTCCTGATATATTTAATGCATGGAAGAATCTAGGCCATGCATTTTTAGCTGTTGTTTCAGCTGTTATTCTGTGGTTTGTTTGGCTTACTAGAAATGATGTTAAATATAACAATGGGCTAACTAATATTCTTTATACCGTTAACAAGATTATTACTTTTCTGATAAAAGGACTCAAATGACTGACTTCTAATAAGAAGCTTACGGGTAGAATGACTGTTATTATGCAAAAATTGTCCCTACTTGTTTCTTTTACTAATAAGAATGCTCATTTGATGCATTGGTGCAAACCGTATGCGCCTTATATTAAAATAAGTATTGACGGTTGCTAGAAGTCGAATAGTGCTACTGTTGGAGGTGTTTGCAGGGACTTCTTGGGTTCTATTCTTTGTTGGTTCTCGGCAGGTGTTGTTCCTGTTTCCCCTCTAGTTGTTGAGGTTGATGCCATGGTTTTCGGTCTTCAGGTGGAGCAGCAATTTGCTTGGAGTTATATTGTTTTTGAAACTGACTCCTTGATTTTATGGAAGTATTGCAGATTTTAGAATGATTATCACTGGAGTGTTAACCTTCAAATGAAGAGGATTGTTGATTTGTCTAAGAACTAACATATTAGATGGTCTCATACAAAGAGAGAAGGCAACATGGTGGCTCATTGGGCGGCTAAGCTTGGATTAAAGTTGAATAATGCCCAGATTTCCAAGGTTATTCCTGATGTTTTGTTTCAATTGGCCTTAAAGGATGTTTCTTAATTGGGCTTTGGCTATTTTTTCTCTTGTTATGTGGTGTTTTGGGTGTGTGAGTTGTATATTCTTTTCTTTGGAAAGAAGACCTTTAGGTTTTCTTCTTTTTTGTGTGTGTTGTATGTGAGATTTAGAAAGGTCCTCTTTCCTTCTTTTGTAATTTCTTTTGTGATTAATAAATGAGGAGTCGAATAATGCTCTTTTAACAAAAAAAAAAAAAGGAGCTATTATGCTTTATGAATAGAACTTCTTGTCCATGCTAAAAAAAACCATACTAATTTCAAAGGAAATACAAAGATAAGATATATCTATTCAAGAAAGCATGCTGAAGGGCTAACAGTATGAGGATAATGAAGAAAATGGGAACCAAAGTTCAAGAACCAATCAAAATTATATTCAAAGTCAAGAAGAAAATGCTTTTGTTGCCATAAAGATGCTTACTTTTAAAAAATATAGAGCTTAAAGAGGAAAAGCAAAAATAATGAAAGGTAAGAGATGATAGAGATTTTGCAACTATGACCATATGAAGGTCCTCTTAATCCCATATTCAGATCCAAGCAAAAAATAGAATATCAACTCTAAATGTGTCCAAACAAGTTTTAACGAGTCAATCAATGAAAAAGGTGGCATTGGGCAACTTGAAAATTACAAAACATATAAAGTTCAAAGTGAAGTGATTACTCAAAATATAAAGGTATGGTATTGAGCAAAATAAAAATTTCAACTTTCTTAGTGAAGTAAACTATAGTGAATACAAATTTATATGTGATAATGGAAGCCTAAAGGAATGCAAAAATTCTTAAGATGTCATGAAAAAGAAATATACATTTTAAATAATGCATATCTACCAAAAATATTATGGGTGAAAGCGATTAGTACAATTGAATATTAATTAAATACGTTTCCTTATTCATGACTGAGTTCAAAATCCACAAAGAAACGTGAAATGAAACTTTAAAGACAAAATTGGCTAGAAGTATGTAGTTGCATTGCATATACTTAAATTAAGTAGGAAAATAAACCAAGAGCTTTGAAACGCATTATCAGATATCTTGGTGATGTCGAAGAGTATAAGTTATGGTACTTCAAACTAGGTCGTCCTAAAAATTCGATCAACAAGATGTTATTGTTAATAAGGAAAATGACAAATTTAGTTTCAAGAACTATGGGCCTAAGTGAAACAGTTAATCGATAAGCCAAAGCAAAACAATTAATGCAAACTAGAAATAACTTCAGGTGGATAAGCCAAAGAATCTTAAAATTTTTAAAACAATGATTACGAATCAAATAAGGTAAATTCAGAAAAGCTGGGTTGGCAAACCATTGAAAACATTTGAGCATAAATATTTAGGTCCGCTAGCTCTAAGAATCCAATTCAAGCATCACAACAATACGGACAAACAAATATTACTCCTTATATACTTGTGATAATTTTTATCAAGTGACAAACTAAGCTCCTAGAAAGCTGCCGCAAACAGTGCAGACAAAAATAGATGACCAAAAGCAATGAATCAAAAGAGCTTCCTTAAGAAAATTGTGATTTGGAGTTGGTAAACAAATCAATAAATGAGAGAATTTTCAGCAGCAAATGTTTATATAAGAAGATTGGAATTCTTATAATAGAATAGCCAATATTTAAAGCTAGGATTCTAATAAGAAAGTTTACAAAAGAAACGGATCTAGATTATGTTAAAATTCACTCTCCTATTGGAGGAATGGATCCATCCATGTTCCTCTTAACATGGTTTTTGACATGCATCTTGAGTATATGAATGTTAAAACAATATTCAAGCACGGAGAATTGGAGGAGACTATCTATATAAATTAACCTAAAGAATTTGCCAATTTTTAAAAAGAAGTCATGTTAGCATAAGAAATCATTATATAAGTTGAAACAATTTCCAAGAACGTAGTACAAAAGATTTGATGAATATATACTTAATTTTAACTTCACTCAAAGCAATTATGGTGTGTGTGTGTGTGTGTGTGTGTGTGTGTGTGTGTTACATCTTAGGAGTCAGCACTATCCATCTTTTGGTTGAACTTGGTGACATGTTACTTGCAAGTGCTTACTTAGAACAATCTCAACTTGAAAGGACTTGCTCAGGATGGAATTTGAAATGAAGTATTTTGATCCTGCAAAAGAATTATTGGACTAAAGATCACCAAGAATAACAAAGACAAGAATCGTTCTTCTCCCAAGGAGAATAATGTAAACAAAAATTGGATGGGCATCTTCTAAACAAATTTGTTGTACAAAATTTTAAGTTGAGTAATTTCAAGCACTAAATGATGTTAAAAGATCATATATCTACCACAATAATATGGCTAGTGTCATGTATTGTATGATTTGTTGAAGGGAAAATTTGGCCTATTCACTTAGTGTTTTAAGCAGATTCAAGCATTCAAAATGGGTTCTAAGTTTCTTAGATGATGCCATTGTCTTGAGATTAAAGTATGAAAATTTTTATTATGCTAAATGTAGACTTAAATATTGCTAGTTGTTTTAATACTTGAAGGTGTACAAGTTATGTGTTTAAGCTATTTGAAAATATTTTTGGTTGGAAGGCAAATTTGCAGCCAGTTATAATATTATATACAACAAAAGTTGAACACATTGAAGCATCTGAGTAAAAAACGAAGTTGTATGGCTAAAAGGGTTGATCTCTAAGATATTAAATCAATCAATACCTACACTTATTCATGTATATTTTTGTGACAAACAAATGCAATAATACTCTTGAAAAATTCTGTATGTCAAAAAGAGCTAAGCATATTGATGTAAAGTTCTTTATTCATTATTGAGGCAATTGTTAAAGTGATTCTGCAAATTGTGAATATCCCATTACATAACTAGGCATTTAACATGTTGACAAAAAGCTCTACCTTCCTCAAAAATTCAATGGTGTTTGTGTTCGCTAAGGATGATGATGGATAAGACTTAATGGTGTGGTTTACATATCCCATTATGGATTAAAGAATCAAGATTGAAATTATAGCAATGGATCTTTTTTTCACCCAACTGCTTCCATTTGTGTGCTTTATTAGTTTACTTTGTATAAGAGCTTATTTTAAAAAAAGCTTATTTGTAGATTTACCGTTAAGTATATGGCACTAAATGCACCCCCAATCTATTGTAAAAAAAAAGGAATTATTTTCCCCTTTATGTATAACATTCCCACTTCTTTCTCTCCACGGTTTCCCATTTCATTTCCCTATATTTCTCATTTCTTCCACTGGGTGCCACAATTATGAAACAAAAAATGGAGAGATGTAAAGAAAATGGCATCTGGAAAGTTCCATCTGTGATGGAAATGACTAGTGGCACTGAAGAACATTGTTCAAGAGGCGTCTATCCCTTGCTAGTGCATTGGATGCTACAGAAGGTTCACATCTCTTGTTAAGCCAAAGGAGGCAAAGCTTGCCAATGATTCACATACTTATTTTCGGCTAAAAGCTATAAAGGTTATTGCAGGAATTCCATCCCCTCGCCAAGGTTTGTTAAGATTTTAATGAGAAGGACGTAGTGTGTTTGTTAAATGAGCTAATAATACATAGTAGGAAAGAAATGATATTTATTGGAGGAGATTTAAATGGAATATATGATTATGAGCTATGAGAGGATTCGAGGGAATGGAATAAGATATAAAAATGCAACAATTGAAGCTATACTAGATTTTCCAGTTACTGATTATTATGCATTAGTTAACGCATACTTCAAAAAACCATTAAGAATGTTCTATTACTTAAATAAGAGGCCGCAAAATCACAATTGGCTTCTTTTTCACTTGCAAGAAAAAATAATTTATCCACGAAAACTAGAAGGTGATTCAAAGAGAGTTTGTTCACACTACATGAAATAATAGTTATGGATGCATATCTTATAGAACCAAAATAATTATCCCGGTACAAGATGGTGACATTTGATTGATAAAAAAAATTTGATCTCCCAATAATTGAATTAGTATCACTCTAAAAAGAATACATAAGTGAATAAATATAGGTCCAGATTAGATATCTAGTTAAGCTTCAAGAGTTTCGGAGGATGTTTTTTATTAACAAATCTCTTTGATAGAATTTTGAAGATTAAGACGTTAACAAATTTCTGTAAAAGTTATATTTTGGAAGCAATACTTCAAAAAAAAAAAGAGAGATTAAAGATTGTCCTGATAAGGAGATCAAACCTATGACTCATACTTTTTGAACATGCACAAAGCCCAGTGCATTTCATACAATTGACTTAAGAAAAAGAGTAATGAAATTTGTGCTAACAAAATATGCTTTTGGGGAGTTATATTACTATAATAAGACAAATAGTGAAACATTATCGAATGATTTTTATAAATATTAAAAGCATATAATTGTACGTGAGTATTGATTTAGTGCTCATAAAGCAAACAAGATGTGTCAATTTTTTGTTGAAATTATTAAATGTTTGGATAAAGGAGCACTAACTAACAATAGTAGCAGTTTTAGGATGACCAAAATTTTAAATTATAATAAGAATACGTCAAGGATTAATATTCATTTAATCGAGAAGCTCCTCAAGAAGATTATGCCAAACAAATGCTATGATTAAAACTCAAAAGATAACTTTCATAAAGCTAAAATTTATTGATGTTATTTAGATTCAAGTGCTAGAAAGGAGTTCATTGATATTTTAGTTGAGCAGGACAAAAATTCATAATGCTAAAATAGGGCTTTTGCAAAGGTAAAAATTATAATTGAAGGAATGAATTTGGCAGACAAGGAGAAATAGTTGTATTTATTTCAGATAAGGTAATTAAAAATTAGGCTTACAAAGTTAGGACATTGCAATGAAAGGTAAAGATGTGCCTTCTAGATGGGCAAATACATTAGTGTCAGAGTAGAAATAAAAATGGCTAAAAATTAGCCGAACAATAACTAAGTGTACTATTAACAATTTTAATAGTATAATTTACCATAAAATGATATTTAGGGGTGATAGATTTAAATATCATGAAATAGCATACATAAAAGAAGAGAATAGCTTCCCAATTATCAACAAGTGGACAATTTAGTCGTAAAATTTTAAAGTGGTCCACTTTAGTCTCATACTAATAAAACTTTATCCAAATTATTCCCTATGTTGAATTTCATAAGTTAACACCAACTATTAACTCCAATGATATTTTAGGAAAGGAAATTTTTAAATAATTTTTTTTTTGTTTTTTACTTTATTTTCATATATAATAAATTATTTCAACTTATGAAAGGATAAATCTTTATTTCATAGAGTAAACAATTGGATATAAACATTAAATAGATACACTTACATTGTTGTTAGAACTTGAATAAATGTAATTAATTTTAATTAAATGTTAATATGGATGTATGAAAATATTAGAACAGTGATAGATAGAGGATGTTTATAAAGAAGGCAAGGTTATAAACTTGGGTGTTCCTGACACGCACAATACAAAGTGAAAAATGCACCACACATACCAGGCAGATAATTAGAGTCAAATGAAAGATAAAATAATATACAAGAAATAGAATGAATATAAATTATCAGGAAAAGATTTGCTCAAAATAAGTTTTAACACCTGATGGTAGAGTAATGATTTAGCAACATCATGTGAGTAGTATAAAGGAGGCTCTCCATAGCTCCTTTTATAAGCTTAAGTTGGTAAATGGTTACATGCTAATTGCAACTTAAAAATTGCATGAAAACGAGTAGCCAGTTCAACATTGCTACTTGCATTCATTTTGTAGATAAGGCCAGTTCATGCTCCTAACATCCATGATCCAACTGTCTCTAGAAATAATAATAATAATAAAAACTCAAAACCCCATTAAAATCTCCAAGATCCGACACGCATTGCTCGATTCCTAACAAAAGCAGGGCAGTTAATCCAACAAATCAAAGAAAATTAAATACCAATGCCACAAACAAGCACTCCAGACTTCAATTCAAGCAGTCAATCAAAGCTCAAAAAAAGTAAAAAAGAAATAGATCTAAAGCACACAAAAATCTTACAAAATAAGGCAATGCAAAGTTACCAGATCGAGTCTGAGATAGTCGTATCCCTCTGGTGAGGGGGGGATGTTTTCATCATAGATGAAGCCAAAGCCGGCAGGGAAGGCGGAGGAGGTGATCCCGTCGGCTGAGATTTGAATTGGGTCCTTGTCGTACTCTTCGGCAGCATAGGTTGAGTAGGAACCGTAGCTCTGGGAGGAGATGTGAGGATTGAACCCCAGATAGTTGTCGTCGCCTAGGGATCTCATCGACGTCGAAATAGGATGGCATCTCTCCAATTCCTTCTGCTTCCCCGATCGGCTTTGAGCTTTTCAGCGAACGGGAGAGGGCAAGGGCGAAAGGTCTTTCGCCCAAATGAAACGCGGATCGCAGGTCCTCCCCCACGATCCGCGTTTAATGTAAATGGAAAACGTCGTTTTTCCATAAGCTCGTGGAACGCTTTATTCAAACGGGCGGTAGCTTTTTTAAAAACGTCATCGCTGTAAATAAGCTACCTCAAACGGGCCCTAAGTTTAAATTTTAAAATTGGTACCAACCCCCATTCTAAAAGGCAGACAATGAAGAACCATTTTAACTTTAAATTTAGAAAATTGTATTCAAGGAAATAATAATTGAATTAGTGTTATTTGATTGATTTATCAAATTAAATTATATATATTTGAGAGAAAATCCTATTTTAGTCATCCATGTATATTAAAGGTAATTATATAGAAAGTATATTAACACAAACTAACTTGAAAATTAGAAAGTTTCTAAGAAAATTCAATCTTATTAAAAGTTTTATGCATCTTGAATGATTTATTTACCTCATTGCTAAAGAACACTGAAAACCTAAGGTTCAATCTACCATCAATTTCCAATAATTCTAACTTTAGGTGTTGAATTACTTACGTGCAAAAAATATTTAAGTTCGGTGGACTTTGATGTTTAAGAAAGTTGCACACTATTTCTTATGTTTATTTGGTTATTTGTGCCATTGTCATGCTTTTTAAGAGTATATTTGCTTGTATTTGTGGGTTACATGTTGAAAGTTAACAAATAGGGAGCACATGAGTAAATGGAAGCTAACTATTTGCTAGGTGCCCCGACGCCCAATCCAAATGCCTAGGCATTCACATCTATCCCACACGACCAAACAAACCCGGACAACTAAAAAGGCAGCGCCCAACTCAAGTGTTCTGGTGCCTAAGCAGGGCGCCTAAGAACCAGATGATGAAGCCACCATTCGTGCAAAACTCTAGAGTAATTGGAAAGTTAGCATAGGCAGGTGCCTAAGCACCCAAAGAGAAACTCCCAAGAAGAAACTTGGCGCCAAGCCAAGCGCCTCGGTGCCAAGTCAGGTGCCCTAGTGTCAATCTAGGCGCCTAGACGCCTAGTAACACGTTCTGTCAATTTCTACAGTTCAGTGCGCACCAAAGAGATGCATTTTTTATTTCTTCTTCATTCGAAGTAAAGAGCATTCAAGCACCATTCGGGAAAGGATTCGGGAGAGCGACATTTGCATCAGAGCACTTGAAGGAGGCGTCTGGAGAAGTGTTTATGAGCGTGAGTGATTGTTTTCTTGAGTGCGTGAGTGTTTCATTGTGTTGTGAATGTGTGAAAAAGAGAAAAATCCAGTTGAGAGCATTGTACAAGGATGAATTGCAATGGAGCAAGTCAATTTATCTTCTGGGTTAAATTGTTTTGTTGTAAATGTTTTTTATTTGAGCATTGTAATGAAATCTTTTTCATTTTATCTCAACATGTTTGAGAATTAAGTTACATATGTTTCTTCGATTTGGTTGTGATAAATCGTATTCTATTCATGGAATTTATGTGAGATTATTTGGGAATTAATTGCACTTTGATGTGTTATCCTTTTGATATTTTTTTACTTTCAATCTGGTCAATTGGAATGTTAAAACTCCTGTGATCTAGGACTAATACCTACAGGCTAGAAGAACAAGTAGAAATATACTTAATCACATAGTGGAATAGGAATATTGCCAGTAGAAGCTTGCAATCGCATAGGGGACTAGAGGATTCCTGGAATCTAGAAATAGAGTGAGGAATATTTATCCCTAGTTTTCAACTTTAATTTGAAAATCTATAATAAAAATATCAAGAATTCACATGATCCAAATCAAAGGAGTGTGTTTATCACATTAGAAAAAAAAAACTTTTGTAACTTTAGGTCATATCTTAAAATTGGGAGTTAGATACTTTCAAAAATTCACAATCTTTCAAATCTTTAAATTAAACCTAGAATTAATAAATTACAAAATTCATCCATTTGGAAAATTAGTTTGTTCCTCGTAGGATCGATAAACGAACTCTTTATACTTTCGTGATTTATGTGTCTTTGATCACAATGCAAATCAAAATTAGAGTAAGAGTTGTGCCAAATCAGATCGAAAATGGATGAGTTATTCATGGAGGGTGGCTCTCGTCCATAGAGGGAGTTGTATAGCCCTAGAAGAAATGATGAAGATGATTGTGGAGTTTCACGCGAACCCATAGTCCACCTCCGTGGAATTAAGCCACAAAGTCTGGAAGGGTGCGAGGGACAACAATCTTAAGGATTTGGGCGGCATCAGAATATCATTATTGCTTTAGGCAGATCTAGTGTAGCGGGATCGAGGAGAGGAAAAGGGACAGGACTCGAGTGGTAGCATTTAGAAGGAATAGGTAGATATTCAGAATGCTAAAACAAATGGAAGCAGGCAGAATTGAGCGAAGAAGTTAGAAGCAGATTCGTGCAGAAGCTTATGGAAGGTATTGTGCGAAATATGGAGGTTTAGAACTAACGACAGTAAGCAAAACTGGATGTTGTGTGATTTGGGGCTGTAGAAGATCGACTCCAAAGATAGCGGCTTGAAACAGGAAATCACGATGGGTGAGACCACGGTGGAAGGCCACATCCAACTGGGCCATTGCCCTTTGTTGCGGGTAATGATGGAAACTGGACAGGTCAAAAAAAGTAGAGAAGTGTGCAAGAGCCTGATTTTAACGTTGCAGAGTATACAAGAGGGAGACAAAATGGTGGTGCTTCACGGTAACCCCAAATTGTGCAAGAGTTTGTTGATGCTCAAGACCGTGATGAGGTCAATTCAGGACGCAGTGTTGGAATTCTTGATCGAGTTGCATAGCATAAAAGAGACATGATATGGAGTTGGCAAAGATTCCACTGATTGATGAGCCACTGGATGAGTTGTTTGAGGTTGTAGTATTCTTCCAGATTGACTTGAAGTCGAGGTTCCATCAGATTCAGATGCAAATGAAGGATGTGCAGAAGACTACATTTCAAACTCATGAGGGACTCTATGAATTTATGATTAAATGGAAAGAATTGTCAGATGATGACATCATGTGGGGAGCTAAATGACCTGATCCAGTAGTAATTTCTTTTTTTCCACCTTGAGAAACAGTGTCTTTTTTGGAAGGGAATATGGTTATGTTGATGCCTAAGGACAATTTAGTCCTTTTATCAGTAATTAATTTTGGGCATTAATAGAGTTTATTATGCGGATGATGTGATTATTGGTTTAAATCTTAGGATTAGGATTTGGGAGAGATCGTCTAACTCCTAAGTTGTAGATGTTTATCTTTAAGCATTTAAGTGTGTGTTTGGGATCTTGAAATAAAATATTTTGTTTTGCCCAAACTTCTCAGAAAGATTTTTCTCCTTTTGTATCACATACACCACATTAAGTGCATCATTATTACAAGAAAAATATGCCAAAATGACAGAGTATACTATTTTATAAAATGATATTAGCTAGGCATGAGACCAATTTCTTAGTTGTAATCTTTGTGATAGTATTAAAATCTCAACATTTACAACATTATGAACCATTCTGAAGTCTTCTCATAGCATGTTAAAACGCAATTTTCTAGCAAATTCATTGTATCATTTAATGCCCACGTTAAGCAGAAAACAATTATTATATCATAATCATCATCAGCATTCTCATCATTATTTTTAGCCTTATCCCAACTATTGAGAATATGTTACACCATTAAAGCAATAAATAAACAGTAACTCAGCAATCACCGAATACAAGAAAATATAGGATAACACAGTTAAAAATGAAGGATATATAAATAGTGTAGGATACGAGAAATATACTTATATACTAAATTTAAGACTAAGCTTAACACTAGTAACAAAAGATATCTATGCAGAGTGGGCTCTAAGAAATAAACCTATGGCACAACCTTAAAACTCAGTGACCCATACTAGTTAGAAAGCACGCATCAAAGAGGAGTGTCAGAAAGCATAATCAATTTTTTGAGGAATTAGACTTTACAAACCTCTCTTGCAGTTGCTTTAAAGCATAATCAAATTCTTGAGAAATTGGACTTTACAACTCTCTCTTTCAGTTTCTTTACTTCTCCAGCCAGATCAACCAGCCTTATATTGTACATCTTGATGCGCTCTTCATAAATGCTGAATTTCATCAAGACATCCTCGAGATTACCAAATGTGCATAGCAACTTCTGGCGCTCCTCCCCATCTTTCTCCAATTGGTGTTTTTCAAACTCCCTCGTGCTGAGAACCAGACCATTAGTCCCAGGAACATCTTTGTAAAGAGCTTCTACATCTTCTGAGCATTTCTTTCTGTATTCAGAGAAACTACATCGAGTCTCTTTTAGTGCTTTCTTATAACCAAGCAGCATTTGGGTCATCAAAGACAGTTCATGCTCATAATGGTGAAGTACCATTTTCCAATGTTGCTGCTCCTCAATATTTAATCTCATTGAACGAATGCTCTGGTCCTTCTCATGCAACATCTGGTTCAAATATGGCATCTGCATTTGCACATTTGCCATTTTTTGGTCTTTCTCTGCATATAGTAATTTGAATCTTTCTAAACCTGTTTGCATGCATTCTATGCAATGATCAAATGATAATGGCATATTACCCCAAGTTTCAGCACTCCTCATCTTTTTTTGCAGGTTATGTTCGAAATGGTCTTCCTCTGCAGCACTCATTGCACCTGCTTGCCTTTTACCATTATTCACAGAATACAGAGAACCATTAGGGCCATGGCCTAGGATATCCTTACTAGACTCTGCGCCCATTCTCAAAAATTCTCCAGAAGCTGCACTGAAGGAATTCAACTGCTCATCGTAAGGAATTCTTATGTGGCTTGTGTTTTCCATTGCTTGCAAGAGGTCTGATGATGACATCCTCCCCAAATTAGACAATTTTGCTGAGAGGTCATCTGCATACCCCATCGCCTGACTACCCTGCTCATGCTTGGTCAAATTCTCAAAGTCAATGTCCACAGCCTCTCTAGAATTGCAGCGTGGAAAGCAATGCTCAAAGCCCTCATTGTCCCCTTCTTCAGGCCACTCATTATCTTCTCCCACCTTGTCTTCTTCAAAACTATCCATCAAATTCTCTTCTACACCAAGTGTCAATCCCAACTCTTCAGTGTCTTTCTCAGGAATCACATTACCCAAATCCTCCAAGCTCCGCACCTTCACCGCAGCAACATCATCATAATCATCATTATCTTCTGCCACATTAGTATCATCATTTGCCATACTTAGCACAGCTTCTACCACCGAAACCTCATCTTCTTGAGACTCGACCACAGACTCCAAAACAGGCATCTCTTTCTTATGGAATAGATTAGGCTGTTGGTGCTTTATTAAACACTGCAGATGTGAGGCACAGTGACAAACTCCGAATTTGGAAGCCTCCAAAAGCTGCTTCTCTACCAAAACCCACATCAACGTTGACCAATCTACCTTTAGAGGCTCTTTGTCCTTTACAAGCTGAGTTGCCTGCATGATTTCCGGAGGTAATATACACATGTCGTCCCCATAGGGCATATAGTTCGAAATAAACTCCAGCAGGACACTGATATCCTCATCCATGCACTCAAATGCATTAGCTTTCTCTTTCTTAATAGGCAGGCTAAGGGCACGAGCCAGATCACTGCGGCTAACTGAGATTCGCGCGCCATATACGTAGCTGCGGCGATTTGAAGGATCGTAGTAAGCGATCAGATGGACAAGAAGATCGGATCTCACCTCACGATCGAGCTCTAAGTGGGCGAAATCCCAGAGACCGAGCGCGCGGAAGAGAGCTTCGTGGGCGGAGAAATTTAGGGTTTTAGCTGGGGAAAACGGAAGGGGGCTGAAGTTATTGGAGAGGATATGGAGATTGCGTTCAGCGGTGGCGCGTTGCTTCGGGGTGAGAGGGTCCTTCTTTCGTCGGCCAGCGCCTTTCTTCGGATGCGGTGTAAGGTAGGGAAACTGGGGCTGGGGCATGGCATCGCTGATGAATGAACCGGATGGAGTGGCAGATTCCTCGGGCTTCTCTATCTCTCCTCCTGCTACAAATCTGGTGCCCTCGAGTCCGTCAATGGCGTTAACGGAAGGCGACGGCGGCAATGGCGGAGGTTGCGACATGGGGGACCTCGGAGTTTGCTGGCAGCACACCTGGTTTTGAAAAAGGGTTGACGTGGGATTTAAATCCAAATTAAAAATCATGATTTACTCACGGATTTATTTGATGAATTTAGAAGAAATTGGATGATCTTTAGGTGGGATAAGAATACATAAATTTTAGCAAAGGTCAAAAAATTAGCTCAATCAACCCTAAGAGAGTAATATTGTGTGTTCAATCCCATTGAGATGGTAGAGTGATAGGAAGTGATAGATGGGACACTTTGAACCTAAAAAGGATATTAAATTTTCATTTTCAGCGGAGTCCAAAGTAGGCTACTCATGAGATTTTAGAGAGAAAAAGGAGACAAATAAGGATGAAAAGTAATCTCCATAGATGAGAGAGATAAAAGAAGGATCTAGAGAGAAAAAAAATATTTACTATCATTTTCCCTTCCCTTTTAAACATAAGGGAGAAAATCAAAAAAATAATTAAGGAAGTACATATTGTACTATTTGTCATTTTTCTCCAGTATCTTGATGAAAGAGTGGTGTGAATGTCAAGTATTAACGGCCGACATCAGGTATTACTACTATAGTGGTCATCTCTAGTACCAAGGTGAAAGGATAGAATATAAAATGTCTGGTTGCGTCTTTATTAAAGAATTGACAAAAGTTCCTATTAGTCATGATGATTTCTTCTAATAGTTTCACTTGCACGGGTGGGCTAGATTGTCTTTTCGAGAAAGATGAGAACGATTAGATCGTCAGGCAAGCTCGACTCGGCCACTTCAGCAGATGGGCTTAATTCGGCCATTTTGACATGTCAGCCTGATTCAAGCACTTCGACAAGTGGGCTTGATTCAGACGCTTTGGCACGTGGGCTTAATTCAGACGCTTTTGCGGCAGTTGGGCTTGATTCAAGCATTTTGGCAGCAGGTGGGCCTAATTCAGGCGCTTCGACGACAAGTGGGCTTGATTCAAACGCTTTGGCAACATGTGGGCTTGATTCGGGAGCTTCGATGGGTGGGCTTAATTCAATAAGATAAATTTAGAAAAAATTCTTGTATATTTGAATTTTAAGTATACATTTTGTTCCTCAACTCTCTTACCTCTTTGATTTGATTCTGCAAAAAAAAATGAGAATATGAAGATCATTCTACTTCTTTGAGACCTTCGTGGTGAGGATGACGCTTATCTTGGGAATGAATAATGTTATCCTTAGGGATTCACTGCTTGTCATGCAATGAATTGGATTTATCTATTATCAATAGCATTCCAGGATTGGCCTTCACCTTAGAGCATTCTATGCTTCTTTTGTAAGGAGTAGTCTCTGGATCTGTGTTATTGATTGAAATCTGCTCTTTCTTTGGGTGCCTTGGCTCTCCAGTGGAAAGAATGCATTCCAATTTTTCCTATTTGCTTGGGTGAGTATTTGTTAAGGAGGTAAGTTTAGGCTGAAGAAGCGAATTCAAACATATTTGTATTAGAATGTTTTTTTTTGTAACATTATTCAAACTATTTCAAAAAATAAGTACAAAAATTAAGTTTGATGTCATAAAGGGTATTAACTACATATTTATTTAAACTTGAATGATTGTACTCCATTTGGGTTATTTATAGGATTGCATGGGAATAAAAGTGGATCCTTGTTAATTTCATTGAAACTTTGTTGCCTCTGAAGGAGAGCAAATTTCTTCTTGAGAGATTCGAGTTTCGCTTGCCTGTGCAGAGGAGATTGTTCGTCGTAGGGGATAGAAGACTTATTTGCAAATGAAAGAAAAGCCATAATTCAAATCGGAAGAAGAACCTCCAAAGAGAGCCATTTTTTCGGTGGACAAAGGAAAACATGTGGAAGGTTCCTTTGTAAGTTTATTGAGACGGGACATGCTTTCTTATGACTCCTTCAAATCAGCCTTTCGAAAGGAAAGCTTGATGAAAGAGGATGTTGACCTCACTTTTGGTTGATGTCTAGTTTCTCCTTAGTAGCTTAGGGTCTAGCCATAGGACTTTCATGTTGACTAATCCTACAGGACTAGAAAAGGAACTCTCACCATTAGAAATTTTAAACTCTTCTTTGCTCAACTTGAAGTTCCACATATTGGTCTACTTAGTAGGCGCGGGGTCAATATGAGGGAGCTCAAGGAGAGTCCCCATAGAATGATCAAGCCCTAGGACTAACCTTGGGTGATCTGGTCTTGGTTAGGCTAGCTGGCACACACAACTTTTTTTTTCACATACCCCAAACCCTAAGACCACTTGCACTTGATTTGGTGTCATGACTCATTTTAGAAAGCTCATATGGGTGGACTCAAACCCCTAGCCCTTGCCTAAAAGGGTTAGGTCCAGCATATTGAACATCTAAATTCAATCCTCATATGGTTCTCATGGCTTGGAAATGGCTTCATGGCTTACTTACCAACTTTAGCCCAAACTTTCATCAAAATTACCAAAATACCTCTACAACCATAATTCTTGCCAAAAAATCTCAAAATTACCCAAAATACCCAAATTTATCCAAAAGTCATTTCAAACCATTCCCCACTACCAAAATTGACCAAAATCACCAAATTTCCAAAATACCCCAAAATCACAAAAAATTACCAAAATGTCCCTCATGACCCAAAAATTTCAAAAATTTCAAAAATTTCAAAAATTTCAAAAATTTCAAAAATTTCAAAAATTTCAAAAATTTCAAAAATTTCAAAAATTTCAAAAATTTCAAAAATTTCAAAAATTTCAAAAATTTCAAAAATTCTCAAAAATTCCAAAATTATTCCAAATGTCCCCAAAATAAATTTAAATCACTCCCATGAACCCAATTTGACTAAATTGATCTATTTTGATTAGAAGTCCCAAATTGCCCTTAAAGGTTCAATTTCCCCAAATTAGCCCCAATGACAACCAAATTGATTTCTAGCTTCTCAAATTTCAATTCCAAATTCCTTATGATATCTCTACACACCAAATTAAACATCTAATTAGCCCAAATTTTAGCCTAAATTCACCCCCAATTTTAAAAGCCCAAGCCCGCCACATGTAATTCTAAAAGCCCAAACCCAAAGCCCACATGGCATGAAATTTCTTCCCATCATCCATTTGATTAAATCAAACTATAGCCCTTGAAATTCATCATTTCATCACACCAAATCAATCCTCATGACAAACTCCACAAAAACACCCAATAAACTAAAAATACCCTTACATGAAAGTTGATCGAGCCAAGGACAAGCCACGAAGCCATTCTCAAGCCATGGGTGAGCCATGTAAGCCTTTGCCATCTTAACATGCCCAAAGTGGCAAAAAGAGGAGCCCCTTTAATGATTCTCTTAAAAGTGGCTAACCCTTTTCATGTTTCCCCTAAACCATGCTTAAGCCTAATTGTACTTGGAGGGTGACTTCTCCTCACTAATAAAGCTAAGCCCAATGATCTCCTCTTCAACCCAAACCATCCTTGGTGGGTGAGCCCAACCCAAATCAATGATTTGACCCAAATTGACCCAAAAATAGGTTCACTCACATTCCTCTTTAATCCAAAACCTTTATACATGGAAAACCTCAATTGACTTCATCAAAACCAAGCCCTAATCCCCCTGACCAAATGGTGACCTGACCCTGGCCGGTCGGCCACCTTGGCTACCGAAAAACACCATGGCTGAGGTGGAGCAATGAGTTAAACTCAATTACACCCAACCAAGCTGGCTCACTCCAATTAGATTTTTTCCCCTTTCTTCCCTCCACATAAGCAGCCAAAGCCACTCATTGGTTAGCCCAACTGCAGCCTCCAAGCTCTCTATTTAAACTCACCCCCTCATGGCTAAAGGATGAGAGGTTCAAATTCCTTAGGGAAACTCTATCAAATTGTTCCAGAGCTTCTTCAAGACCTCTTGAGCTCAACCCAACCATCTGTCAGCATTATTTTGGTTGAGGAGTTGTGAAGTTGTCGGTTGCTATGATGGATATCCTAACACCCATTTTAACTTAATATATATAGTTTGGAAAAAAAATAGTATTTGGATTTGGAAAATGCAAAACCATACCGATCTCATATCCCCAGTAATTTAAATAAATGAGTCTAATATCACAAGTAATGTATTCATCCCGAAGAATAGACACACCACTTAGTGGTAAGGCTCGATTAAATAAACTAAAGATTGTATGACATCCGTTCAATCTGTGAAACTATTTTATGTTGACCAAATTTCCCCTATTTAATACAAAGAATTAAATATGATTTATATTAAGCCAGTTTCAGAAATACTCCCTGTAAGGGCAAGCCCCTATAGTTAATTACATATTAGATAACCGGAGTCACCTAATAAAACTCTTGATAAAAATCAGGGGATATTATCTTCAAGGAATTCAAAAGGATAGGACTTTTCAACAGGTTTAGACAAAAAGGTGTGAAAGGGAAATGACTCAAGTTTAGAACATTTTATTTTGAAATCCAAACAAGGAAGAACTAGTAGATGTCATATATCTAGAGGAGGCCTCGGTGACTTCCCAAGATCTCCTATGATTTGGCTTCAATTTATAGGAGAAATATTTAAGCATTTTGTTCTGCCAATTTTATTAATTATGGCTTATATTCATGTGAAATGGTCACACAAATATCCTAGAAGATATGAGGATTTAGGTCGTGACAAACGACAACCTCGGAATCTAAAGCGGGTTAGGGCTTAAATTGTATAGCAGATCTATACAAAGACCTAAAAAAAAGTTGAGGATTTATGTTTGCATAAGCAAATAACCTCGACTTCCTATGGATTTGTTATTTAATTCTAAAGAATGGTTTAGCTATTGAAAACATGTTTTACTGTTGAAGATGGTCGTGTTGCCCACGATGTCGTGTTGCCCACGATGTTTGCCCACGATGTTAGCTCCAAGCTCCTCATCGTGGCGAGTTTAAGTTTTCTAATGTGTCAAGTCATGATGTCAAATCAAATATCCCTATGATTATGTTTCTTTAAATATTATGAGGCATATTAAAGTTGATTAGAGCGACATTGGTTAGGATCCTACGGTTCCTTCACGGTTCCTTCGTTCTGGTTTCCGGCACCACTAATTTCTTTCACATTCACTTAGTCCAAATGAATTTAC